GCAGTTCAGGAAAAAGCTCTCAACTCAATAAAAACACAAGTGAGAGCCAAACAATAATAATTAATAATGTACTTAGAACATTCATACAAATTGCACCGGACATTTCATGTGCTATATCCTTCGTATATTATTATTTATCTATTCATAAAATTAATCTTTTTTACATTATTTTATTTGGAGTTTGCAATTTATCAAGATGTCCAACGCAACTTTTGATGACAAAACTTTGCAAGACTTTAGTGACGACTTCATTCAGAAAATGATAGGAACAATCGTGTTTCTTGTAATTTGTTTATTTCTTGGAGTACCTGGGAATATAACTGTTCTTGTTATCTATGGTCGACGGTATGCCACGAATGTATACAGATCAATAATATGGAACTTAGCTTTGGCTGATCTGATTTTTTGTTCCCTTGGAATAACCTTTGACATAGCTCGTATTTTCAAGTACTATTCATTTAAAAAACGCTGGATATGTTCAATGGGTGTCAGTCTGTTGGTATTTGGAATGATTTATTCATCGCACCTGCTAATTTTGCTATCAGTACATCGATTCAGACAAGTGTGTATGTCACTAAGGCCACAGATGACACAACAATCGATAAAATACTGGATTATTGGTTGCTTTTTGGCTGCAATAATTTTTACATCTCCAAAGCCCGAATTACAGTTCCACGAACGGATCAACATTACAAATAACATAACTGGACATGTTTGTCCTATTACATCCTCCAGGCCGTCTATCTATGCCGTCATCTATAGTTATTTTTCACTTCTATTGTTTGCATCTTATGCTGTTATCCTGTTCATAATCTACCTGGCCATTGGCATACGATTGTATATACAGTACCACGATAGACGGAGGAAAAGTCTAAATACTATTGAAGAGAATATTTCCAGTAAAATGACCAAAATAACATTAACCGTGTCCATAATATTTACGCTGAGTTATCTACCGGTGTTTCTATTTCAGATCACGCAACAGTCGATACAAGAGGACAAGTTTAGCTCTGTTCAGATAGCGCTTTTGCACATAATTGAACAGTGTTATGTCATCAATCACGTAGCTAATCCTTTTATTTACAGCATTTTCGATGAACGCTTTCGGAAAAACTTCATTCAGCTAGTATCAATGAAGTTTGTGAAACCAGAAAAGATGAAAACCAAGGTTTCAGCATCAGCCGTAACAGCATCATCTGTAGTGTTAGATTCAATGATATAGCATAACGTTTCCCCTTTTTGTATTATACTGCAAGAACAACTCCTAAAGCTTTTGGTGTTTAAAAAACTTATTTAAAGTTTTGCACAACCGTTGTTTATTCTGTATTAGAAGATTTCATTATTTTGTTTTGAAAATGTTGCATTTTAGTTTATGTTATAGAAACACAATCGTTATAAATTTGAACTTTAAATGTCTGATTTTGTTTAATATGTATTTATATTATTAAAATAAATATTACATGAAAAAGATATGTGATAATTTTTAGAATTGATAAATTAGAAATAATCTTTGATTTCACTACAGTAAAATTTGATGCACTTTGATATACTATGTTCAACGTATTCTGGTTATAAAAATATCTGTAAACCGAGTTTAACTTAGTCATATGTTCATAATTCATGTACACAACCAAGTCATTAACCATTTCAGTTGCTGTCTTTACATTGTATCTATATCATGTTTTGATTTATCCTCACAAAATTGTGGAGCAGATGACCCCACTCTTATATAGATGGAGAGCCAATTTTCCATTGTATTTATTTCAATCAAAGGTAAACAACAAAAAAATACGATGAAGCCTAATTTGAAGATGAAAGATTGGAAAAAATAACAAAAATACCATTCTACAAGGAAAATGCAAAAAGAAAAGTCCCTTTTCAAATGGCAAAATAAAAAGCTCAAACACATCAAACGAACGGAAGTCTACTGTCACATTCCTGACTTGGTACAGGGATTTCCTTATGTATAAAATGGTGACTTTAACCTGGTTTTATAGCTCACTAAACCTCTCACTTAGACAGTTGCATAAACTTTCATTATATGGACAACAAGATATGCATGAAGGATACTACAAAAAATATTTTATGAAATCAAAATGTTATTCAGGTGCACAAAACAAATTGTCTTTATTAAAATGTTAAAATGCAGATAGAAAAATTGGATAAATCTAGACTAATGAAAATGACACTTTATAAATTTGATGCGTCTGAGAACGCTCAAACCCAACAATTTGAAAGCCAAGATGTATAAGTAATCGAATACTAGGATACGTGAGAATCTATAGGATCAAATGAGACCTAATACGAAAAGCCTAAACTCTAAAACAGGAATCAGGAATCATGAAGATCATTAAACCATTCATCGTAGTCAATTACCAATATCTGCCTAGTCTGAAAGTTTTAATTACAAAGCACGAATTATATCAACTCCATGGACATATTTGATAAACATGTTCATCTGAAATAGGCAATTTGGGGCCCTTTATAGCTTGCTGTTCGGTATGAGCCAATTCTCCGTATTGAAGGCCGTACTTTGCTCCAACAAAGTTATGAGGAGGAAAGATTAAAAATGACACTCCGTAAATGTTATGGACACCATCACGAATTGGTTGATCCATACGATGTGTCTTTGTCCAAACTAACTAAGGACATTTTTAACACGTCTTAGATTGTGGTTTGCCATTACGTCGTCTGATCTTTTAAGTACCGAACGTGACCTATTCCCGATTGTGACTGTTTTGCTAAGTGTGAATTCGCATTGCTATAAAAGACGTGTCACGGTATTTTTCTATCCAAAATTCATGTATTTAGTTTCATTGTTATATTTGTTATTGTCAAATGTCTTATCGTTTGTAGTTGTAATTCCTACTTTTTTCTGTTCTATTCGTGCGTGAGGGTAAAGATATTTTATCGCCCACTTCATTTATAGATTTCAGTTTATGTCAACTAAACTTACACTATGTATTTGGTTTTCAGTTTGATTTAGAAGAAATACCGACATAGCTAGATAATACAATTAATTATCTAATTACTAACAAAATTTTATATTAATAAGTATTGTTATTTTCATTGTTATTAAATATATGTAATATCAGTATTACAAACCTAATCTTGAATTCTTTCCTATTTTTTGGAATTGTTTAGAAATTTATATGTGACGTCATGTTTGTGCGTCGATCAATTCGGCTAACATACCATGCGTTGTTCGGCTTTACTGTTTTTATGTGCTGATCTAGGTTGTTTTACGTATTCGTTTTTATTTAGTTAGTCACCACTTCGGTGTTAACATGTATATCTATTATATGGTCATTTTTATAAATTTACTGTTTGCAAAAATATGAATTATTCTAAATACTAAGGATTTTCTTATCCCAGGCAGATAACCTTAGCCATATTAGGCACAACTTTTTGGAATTTTGGGTCATCAATGCTCTTCATCTTTGTTTGGCTTTCTTTGTTATTTTGACCTGAGCGTCACTGGTGAGTTTTGTGTAGACGAAACACGCGTCTGACGTATTAAATTATAAGCCTGGTACCTTTAATAACTATTAGCTTGTCGTAATGTTCTATCGTATTGTTTATTTGTGTGTTTCTCTGTCCTGTATGTTCTTCCATTTATTTGTATTGTAGTCCTGTCATGTAATGTTCCCATTTTAGTGTTATATTTAACATTGCCATTAAAGCGGGAGGTTTGGCTAGCCACAAAACCAGGCTCAACCCACCATTTTTTCTTAAAATGTCCTGTACCAAGTCAGAAAAATGGCTATTGTTATCTTATAGTTCGTTTCTGTGTGTGTTGCATTATAGTGTTTCTGTTGTGTCGTTGTTCTCCTCTTATAGTTGATGTGTTTCCCTCAGTTTTAGTTTGTAACCCGGATTTGTTTTTTCTCAATCGATTCATGAATTTAGAACAGCGGTATACTACTGTTGCCTTTATTTGACCTATAATTATTTTCTTTCTACACATTATAACTTGGATGAAGAGCAATAATGTCAGTTTCAGAAAATTTGTTATTAGAATCAGATTTATTTTTTACAAAGTACGATTTTTTCCTCCCTAAGACAAGATACTTGTATCTATGTTGGCCATTTTTTTTATGAAACAAAGAAGGAAGAACTCTTTCAATTCGTCTTTTAGTTTGGAATGGAAAATACATGTGTAAAGTGTAGGAAAGTCAAATGTTTTAATACTATTGCAAGATGAAAGATACTTAGATTGTGTGTACTCTAAACGACTCTTTGAAATGTTTAGTATCCACATCTGATTCACGCGCCACCTCTGGAATAGGTAGTTTCACAATAACTTTGAAGCCCGGCTTTGATTGTTGATAAAATTGATGTTAATAATTTAGAAAGAGGCTTCATCTAGCACTTGGATGACCAAGCAATATACTGTTGTTTTGTATGAACACTTATGTAGTTAAGGTATCTGCTGTGGACGATCTCGACGTATACTCGTATTTACCAAGTCACGAATATGACATTTTGTTTTGTTTGATGTGTTTGAGATTTTGATTTTGCCATTTGAAAGAGGACTTCAATCTTCCTTGGAGCTCAGTATTTTTTTTTTATTTTACTTTTTGGTATAGTGAAAACACTAGAAGTCATTGCTTAAGACCTTACAGCACACTCAGACGTACTTACTTCCTTATCTCAGAAACCTTTGCCATATATAGACTATCAGCGGTACCAAACAAAATATGTTTAACTATGTAATATTAGTTACACAGTGTGCTTGTGACCTAATACGATATACATGGGGTCAGTAAATTCCATATGGGATGAGATCAAAGCTCGAATCCCCATATGGAATTAACTGACCCCAAACATATTGTATTAGGTCATTAGCACACTGTGTAACGAATTTATCTTACCGACTTTCTTAACATGTAGTATATAGACTAGTGGCCTACCAAAATGCATCTATACTGGTATTAAGAACCTACTTCCATTTGTCTATATAAAAACAAATGCCAACAATAACAACTTGTTAGCTTTAAATGTGTTTTATGAATTTATTTCAATCGTTCATTATCAATTTCTTCGTCTGTTGAAACATTTCAGATTTCCCTCAACTCCGTGTTGTTTTTATAAAGGGAAATACCATCACTACTAACCGTGTATTGAAATAAGCCCCGACTACTAACCTAATATGAAATATACACGGTCTCCGCGCGGTTGCCTTTAACCAATCATATTCCTAGAATTGTATAGGAGGTAAGATAATTAGTGTAATCTACAGCTTACTAAATTTGGGTTATTGGTACATTAATATAAACGTCTGTTATTCACAAACACATTATTAGATAATTTCATTAGACTGGAAAACACTTCATGATAACAACAGTTTACAACACTTTACATAGAGCACATATGAAACAGTTTTTAATTTGACTACCCGTTTGAACAGACACCAATATGGCTTCCTTGTAACCCGCAACCTTATATCGAGGCAGTCATGATAGAAAACAAAAGCCCTCAAATGCCGGGTATAGAAAATCAGCAAATTAGCTGTAGAGTTTGTACGTACACCAATCCTATGTTCATTTATGTTCATGTTAAATTCTTTTTTAATGAATGTGTTATTTCTGTACATATATAAATATATATAACGAATCAAAGAAGTTGACGTAACGCTTTTTAGTTCCATATATTTAAGTGACTGTTCCTCTGGGGTTTTCTGTAAAGAATTATAAGGATTGAGATAAGCAGATTTGTCCGCGACACATGAAGACGTGGATCATTCAGAGCTACGTTTAGATCCTTTTTCTGTGTTGCAGTCTTCTTTTTGTTCGGAATCTTCAAACAATTCCTGGAACGAATTTTTATGATTTGAAATTGAATCTTTTTCCTCTGATGAAGTATTAAGAAATTCCTCTGATGGCTTGTATGTAGAAATATAGACATGTGGATCGGTATCAGATACAATAGGTTGATATGGATTAAGATAGCTATTGTTTCCAATGGACGTTATATCATTGCTGTCTGACGATTTGCTACTTGTGCTAAGACTGTTTGTTTGGTCAGATTCAGACCCACCTGAAAGATTGTGTTCACTTTGGTTAACAGTTGAATTTAGTTCCAGCTCCATAGTTGATTCATCAATCGTTTCATATAGGTTCTCAATTCTGTCCACGGGAAGTTCATTCATGATCATACTATTATTTTGGAAAGGTTCGATGGTTTCTACAGTTTGTCTAACAGATCTACTTTTATGCCGACGAAAGAATGCAATGCATATCAGTACACCGATGGAGCATCCACCTATACCAATTGAGTATACTATCACTTCTCTTTTCGAGAGTCCTAAGGAAAATAACAGAAATTGTATTGTCTTTACAGGAAACGAGGGAATGGACTGAATAAAATTAGAAGGCGAAATATTCATGATGGGCTTTATCACCATAAGAGTGTCAAAACTGTTCATAGTCAACTTTGCATCGGAGAGTTTTCATCTTAATTTGTTTACAAAACAAGATATTATTGATAAGAATTCATTTGTGGTTAATATTTAAACACAGTGTTGGCTGCTGTGTCACTGTGTTTGACATTTTTGCATATTGTGTCTATTTGTTTTGTTCAAACGTTCCCGCGTCGTTGTCAATATGGTGGAGTTTTATGCGACTGTCATACAAGTGAGAGGTTTAGTTCGCTATAAAAACAGGTTTGATCTTCCATTTTATACATACAAAAATGCATATACCAAGTCTGGAATATGACAGTTGTTATCCATTCTTTTGATGTGTTTGAGGTTTTGGTTTTGCCGTTTGCTTAAAGATTTCCGTTTGGAATTTTCCTCGGAGTTCGGTATTTTTGTTATTTAACTTTTTGATATGTTTAACGGCAAACTCCAGTTGCCACATGTGAGGCAGGATCTCTTTACCCTTCCGAAGCACCTGAAATCACCCCCAGTGTTTGGTGGGGTACGTGTTCCTTAGTTTTCTTTGTTGTGTCTTGTGTACTATTGTTTTCTGTTTGTCTTTTTCTTTTTTAGCCAAGTCGTTGTCAGTTTATTTTTTATCTATGAGTTTGAATGTCTCTTCTGTATGTTTCGCCCACTTCCCTCCTAAACACTGACTATATTGTGGCTGATAATCTCAGTGATGAGAATAATGCTAATACTTTATCATTCTTGTAAAACTTAGAATTTAATAGTATAGTCTCTATAGTAGTAGTAAAAGAATGAATTACTCAGAATTGTGTTTCCTAAACCACATGAAATAAATGATAATAAGACGTTTCAAACTTGATTTGAAAACATAATTATCCAATAACAAAATATGTGCGGATAATGTTTAGAATACAACTAATATCTTACCGAAAGGAAATAAACCAATAGTAGATGACCCGACGTGTATGTTTCTAGTTGATCTTATAGTTTCAGTTGTATGGTACTTATACTTAGCTTGTGTTTTTGAATCTGAAAAATAAAACGAATCATACATTAGATTCACGTGTGCATTTTTATCACGAGAAAAATAGACTAATAAACCCACTGAGCTTCAAGGTACAATAAATCAAATCAATGCTCATATGCGAGTCATTTTTTAAGATTTTTTTCTAATGAGATCAAATGAATTATTGTTATGTTCTCTATTTTTCACATAAACTGATGGGGATTTCCACTAAATTTATTATCGATCTGATAAGTTTAGCCCTTTTCAACAGATTTTCATAGTTTGTTCATAGGTTGTAGTGTTACACCATTGTGCTTGGTGAGGGGGAAGATTGGGTGCCTTATAAAATGTGCAAGCCCACCACATTCTGTATGTGCCTGTCCAAGTCAGGAACCTGTAATTCAGTGGTTGTCGTTTGTTGTTGTATATCATCTTTGTATTATGTTCATTTTTTTATTTTACATAAATCATTTCGGGTCATTTTATAGCTAACCATTGGGTTTGGTCATTGTTGAAGGCCGTACGATAACCCATAGTATAGTTGTTTCTTCTATAAAATTATGTCTCAGGTGCAGAGTTGTCTCATTGGTAATTATACTTATTCTTATAACACTAATACATTGTTAAAATTCATGTCGACAGTTGATTTCTAGTTGCATGAGTTTGGTCACAATTTTTCTTACTTGTAAATGAAATAAACACTTTAACTTTCATCAGAAAAACTAAAATCTAAACATTTGAAAGCAACGGATGCGCAATAAATTTTGTCAAGAGGCCAGCTGAAGCACGCCTCTTGTTGCGGGATGTTCTCGCTGTGTTGAAGACCCATTTGTTGTTGCTCTTTGTTCGGGTTGTTGTCTCTTTGACACATTCCCCATTTCCATTCTCAATTTTATGTGTAGCAAATACATGTACGTTGAAATGACAACGGCCCTTTACAAAATAGCCACTTTCGTCTAATGTTTCATAAGGGACTTAAAACCTTAGTTTATTATATTTATAATATTGTGATATTTACACCATATAAAATACTACATCATCAGCCCATTACTTATGTTTCTAGTCAAAACTTACTTCTGATAATACAAACAAAATGTTATATTTGGTCCATTACAAGTTTAACCTATTATATTTATTAGTTAATAATGGCAGTATTCACATTTACAAACCTGATCTAGCAGTAGTTGTATCGTCTATAATTTCAACACATCCATGTATATGATCACATCTGAGAAAACAAAACAATCATCTTTATGATAGCTTATTATTAAATTATTTATGAATTGTGTAAATTATGAGTATTTTGGACGAATATAGAGATTTTTCAAGCTAATATTAATTGATTGCATAAAGTATTGTAGAATTCTCGTTGCATTGAGGATAAACAATAAATACTAGTATATTACTGTTCTACTGATTAACGTTAAAGACATGTCAATTAATTTTAACTACTGTTAATAGTTTAAATCCTAAATAGTAGTAAGTGTTTCTTAATGCAATTTCCACGCGTCGGGTTAAAGCAATATACAAGACATTTGCATATAACGAATTTAGACCGAATTTCACTTTCAGGCGCAATAGGACAACGGTAAAATTAAAAAAAACTAATCTTTCTATTGATTTATAGATGTTTGGGATATACTTAAATGAGACAGCAAACCACAAATACAACCCATTAAAAACATCTAGAGGAAAACGTATTAACGTTTACAACAGACAGGTATGTCAATATTATAGCCACCTAAACCTTTCACATGAATTTGGGGTTCATGGTAGAAGTTTTTTTTTAATTTAATTTTGATCTCCGTTTAAATTAATTTACAACTAAAGAATATAAGATTCAGGGATTAAACGGCTTGAGGTTCATTAGGTATTAGTCTATTGTGGAACATCATATGTGGACACCTTAAATAATTTGTTTGATATTTTGTTTTATATCGTTGAGTTACTTTATTATTGAAGTATAACCCAGATCTCTATTTCAGATTTGAATAATAGTTCTCGAAGGTATCATTCTTCCATTGCTTCGATTTTGACATTATATAAATGATAAATTTTGTCTATGAATATCCAGGTTTTACTGGCCCCATGTGCAAGTGCGCACGAAGAGGATTAATTAAGTAAGTAAGTGTTTTTATATTCGGATTGCAGTCCCATGTGCCAGTTAGCCTTTAAAAGAGGGACGAAAGATACCAGAGGGACAGTTTTGTTTCCTTATCTATCTTTGTATTTTGTATTGGTACGTTTTATATCTTTCGTATTATAAACATTAGGCCTCTACCGTGCATGGTGAGGGATACATGAATTACCGAAAAAAAACGTGTTGTTCGAACGAAATACATATCATGCATTTATGTTTCAAATTCAGTTTTGTATTAACAAATCTTATTATAGAATAACAAACCTTTTATTTACTGAACAAGTACATAGGTATACACATTTTCTTCCATATGATCTACTTTTACATTGCTGACAAACCTCTCCAGATTCTGATATGTATCCGTCTCTGCATTCTAAAAAGAAGAAAAGGCATGTGCACGCTGTTTAACTCAGATTATAATGTTTTGTTCTATCTATTGAATCATATGTATGTCGATAACTTTCAATAAAAATCAAAATATTTGTTTGCTTTTATAGTGATTAAGATTATAACACAATCAGCTGACTGCTGAACCCATTTTTTTTAAATGTTTACCTATTATGTCTGTTTGTTTTGTTTACACATCGTTGTCAATAAAATGAAATTTTATGCGACTGTCATACAAGTTAGAGGTTTAGCTAGTTATAAAACCAGGTTTAATCCACCATTTTCTACATGAGAAAAAGCCGGTACAAAGTCAGGAATATAACAGTTGTTATCCATTCGCTTGATTTTTTTTAAGCTTTTGATTTTGCCATTTGATTACGAGCTTTCCGTTTAGAATTTTCATCAGAGTATTTTTGTTATTTTACTTTTTGAAATGAAATATGTGAAAACTTCTAAAGAAATGATTCAATAGATGTTTAATTTGTTTTTGAAAGTTAATAGTAATGGGTATTACTTTTATAAATTGTGACTTGAATGGAGAGTTGTCCTATTGGCACTCATACCTCGTCGTCTTATATTTATTCTTACCAACACATGTTCCATTTATTTCTTCATGGTTATCACAACAGTAAAACTCTATATGCCCTCTGCTAAAAAAGTAAATGTAAAATATTGACGAAATAAGGGAATAACATTGAAAATCAAAATATGACGAGTTTCATTGAATTGTATCTTTATAATCAAATATCTTTATTTTTTTTAGTTTTAAAAGAAAAAAGTTAAGCAAAAAATTCCAAGGAAAACCAAAAACGGAAAGTCCCTAATCAAATGGCAAAATCAAAATCTCAAACACATGAAACGAATGGATAACGACTGTCATATTTCTTACTTTGTACAGGTATGTTCTTATGTAGAAAATGTGAACTAAAACTGGTTTTATAGCTAGCTCAACCTCTTACTTGTATGACAGTCGCATCAAATTCCATTATATTGACAACGATGTGTGAATAAAACAAACAGATATCATAGGTAAACATGTCAAAAATATTAATCGCTAATCTTAATCGCTTTAAATATAAACAAATATTTCAACAAACATTAACAAAAAGGCATATAGATAGAGCACATTAGCAAAAGATAATTGAGAATACAAAAATTAACTATAGCACAAATACGGGATGTATAAGTACCAAATGGGCTCTCTCTCTCTCTCTCTCTCTCTCTCTCTCTGTTTTAGTATAGAAGTATATCTTCCTTCATCAATCAGACAATATATATATATATATATATATATATATATATATATATATATAAGTCTAAATTGAAAACAACGTTCAAACCTATGATTGCGTTGGATAAAAACCGCAATTTTTATACATGTGCATGTAAAACAAATTTCTTGGTAGAGGGGTCTAAATACAGCACAAACAACAATTTCCAAAAGACCAAAAAAAAGTGAAAAAGTCTATTTTAACAAAACGCATTTGACTAACAGGTCGAACAACTGATGTTCTTAAACCCTGCTGACTGCCATTGGCGATTGCCAAATAAATTGATCACCAGATCTAACAAAATGGATCTTAATATTAATTTAATACCAAACAGAAAACAATAAACTTGTGGAAAAGATGGTATACCACAAACATGAGGTGCAAAAATTTGTACACCATATCCGGATTTCGACAATTAATGTCTCTTCAGTGATGTTAGGGATCGAAACGGTATTTGGAAGGCCATATAATTTACCTCAATTTAGGAAAGACTCTTGAATTTTAAAGAGTCGAAATAGGATGAACGGATCATATAAACCCGAAGGAAAATATAATACAAGCCCAAACGAAAAAATATATAAAAGACTAAATTGAAAACAACGTTCAAACCTATGATTGCGTTGGATAAAAACCGCAATTTTTATACGTGTGCATGTAAAACAAATTTCTTGGTAGAGGGGTCTAAATACAGCACAAACAACAATTTCCAAAAGACCAAAAAAAGTGAAAAAGTCTATTTTAACAAAACGCATTTGACTAACAGGTCGAACAACTGATGTTCTTAAACCCTGCTGACTGCCATTGGCGATTGCCAAATAAATTGATCACCAGATCTAACAATATATATATATATATATATATATTAGGAATTAAATACCTTAGTGTTCTCTCACATCTTCGTCCATTAATTGTCTTTTGTAAGAGAATAATCATCAATATCAATACAGCATATGTAAATTTTGGGCACATATTCTATTTTATGTCGATACGGAAACAATTCTAAGAGCAACGTATCTATTCTCATTTCCGGGAATGGATGAAATTTTCATTTCCGATTGTCTTATATATAAATAGGTATACTCTGTCTGTATGATAACAAAACACAATTGGGCGTATACTATAAATTCAGAAATATTTGCATGCATTGATTATTGCAATTTTTGTAGAATGGGCAAACATGCGAGATTAAATATTGCAATTTCAGGAACATCTGCATGCAGATACGTGTATGAGTATCATATATTAGAATGAGAGCTGTTAATATTGCGTTACTCCAAGTCACATTATTCGAATTAATTAGTACCTCGCAAAAAAACACTAAATATATTCTAACACTTTTTGATTTTCGATTTCAAAGAATCATGAAAAAATAACAAAATTACCGAACGCCGAGGAAAATTCTTTAGTACTTTGTTTATTCAACAACTGTTCTTATCTTTATTTTATACATGTGCATTCCTTTAGTTGTTTTACATGTAGCAGCCTTCTAAGTTCTAAATGCAGCGGTATTTCGAATAATTTTAATATTTTTTTTTAATTTTTCATTTATGCTTTTCGTGTTTTGAAAGATTAGGTTGATACATTATATGTAATCCGTTTGAACAATTTAAGTATTAAAATGTAATGTAAAATTCGTTTTGTTTGTGTAAAATGGAGCGAATATTTTTATCTTAATTTAAAGTAAATCCCAATCTATTTATATTAGAATAATACTTCCTTGTTAATGCAATATGGTATGTTACCTTTAGTTAAACACTTGACTATATATATAACTATTGTTTTTTATATGAATATCATAATCTATAAAATATAGTGTTACATACTACTATTTTGCATTAAGTTTGAAATATATGATTATAGTATATGGTACATAGATCCATTGTTCCAATATCGATCAAAAGATTAATTCCTTTGTGTTTCGATTAAAAGTTCAAATGTTTTAGACCTCTTGATAAATTATGAAATGGAGCACAGCGACATAATTATATTTTCATTTTAAGCAACTAGAGAATGAACCTGAGACTTCCATGCCGAACTCGCGATTTGAGTTGGAAGACCTTATATATTGATCTATGGGTGAATGCAATACTCTTGAGATGCAAGAATGTGGACTGTTAACCACTATTCCCCATTCTAAATCGCCAGTCTTCACCTTCACAGTTTTCTTTTGTTTATTCATACGTTATTTCCTTGACTTATGTCGATAAGATTTCATTCGTTGGAAACAAAACTGATTCCAATGACAATATAAACTGCAGCGACAAACTATGTTCTGTATTTGGATGTACCATGCCAGGACACTTAGTGGTGACTTTCTCCATAGGTCTTTTAGTTTAATATGTCATTATAAGATCTTTCCACTTTTCTGTGGAAAGACCTATTGTATTTGTTCTGATTATTATGCCTTTCCACTTTTCTGTGAAAAGACCTATTGTATTTGTTCTGATTATTATTATTAGGTGTTTCCACTTTTCTGTGGAAGACCTATTGTATTTGTTCTGATTATTAGGTCTTTCCACTTTTCTGTGGAAAGACCTATTGTATTTGTTCTGATTATTAGGTCTTTCCACTTTTCGGTGGAAAGACCTATTGTATTTGTTCTGATTATTATTAGGTCTTTCCTCTTTTCTGTGGAAAGACCTTTTGTATTTGTTCTGATTATTATCATTAGGTCTTTCCGTATTTGTTCTGATTATTATCATTAGGTCCTTCCACTTTTCTGTGGAAAGACCTATTGGTTTTCTTCTGATTATTAGGTCTTTCCACTTTTCTGTGGAAAGACCTATTGGTTTTCTTCTGATAATTTTTTTTTTCTTCCGCCAACTTTTGTTCTTGCGATAAATTTTTGTTTTCGTATATGATATCGAACAGCTTATGCGCCTCTGACCCTGCTTAACCGAATACTTTTCTTTGTAGGAGTTATCTCACCGAACACTGTTTTCCCTGTGCGTGCATCTCCTCTTTAACCGTAAAAGAAAGCGACAAATTTTTTTTACCAAATTGCTCGTTATATCCTCAGGATGTTTTGTCCAATTTTGACCGAAGCGATACATAAACTCCATATGAGAGTTATTTCCCCTTCTGTATTTGACATAAGGGATATATAAATGTATAGCATGAATGATAAGTGATAGAGACCTAAGGTATATTGATTTGAGTTCCTTGGTTCATTTAAATGAAATTGAGGCCGAGGTCAAAGGTCAAGGTCATATTCAAAATTTTGACTTTTCCTTGTTATTTGATCTCCTCTGTCACTTAAAATTACAAATGAAAGAACTACTGCAAAATGTTTGCTTAATTGTGATTAAGATATGATACATTTGGTCTGAAACAATCCAATAATATCTTATAGGAGTTATTGTCCCTGAAATGATTCAATTTAAGGTTAATTGATTATTACTCCAACTTGGTACATGATAAAGCCATAGGGTCTTTTGCAAACTGCTGGTTGACATATGACTTTGAAAAAAGTAAACCGAAAGTGACCTTGAGTGAACCGGAAGTAGTATGTTTTGCACTTATTTCATGGAAAAGTACCTAGAAACCATATATTTTTTGAATGATCATAGGTTAACCTATCATTTGAGACCGGAAGTGACATTTTATAAACCTGAAGTAGCATCTTATCTTCCTTATTACAGGCATAAGTATATACAAACTATATATTTTTGGAATCAGTGTGAATAAAGCTATCATATGAGACCGGAAGTGACATTTTCTAAACCAAAAGTTGGCAATTATCTCCCTTATTTCAGGCAAAAGTATATAGAAACCATTTATTTCTTGAATCAGTATGAAGAAATCTATACTTTGATGCTATTAATAACTTTGAGTAAACCAGAAGTAGCTTCCTATCAATTATTTAGAAAATTGATGTGGAAAGACCTTCATTTGTTCTTTGAACAGTTGGTTTTTAATTTTTTTTTTCTTCCGCCAAATTTTGCTCATGCGATAAATTTTTGTTTCGCAAGATGTCGCTTAGATGTTTCGTATATGATATCGAACAATTAATGCGCCTTTGAAATTGACCCTGCTTAACCGAATACTTTTCTTTGTAGGAGTTATCTCCCCGAACACTGTTTTCCTTGTGTGTGCATCCCCTCCGTAACCGCTTTTCTGTGGAAAGACCTATTCGTTTTCTTCTGATTATTAGGTCTTTCCACTTTTCTGTGGAAAGACCTATTGGTTTTCTTCTGATTATTAGGTCTTTCCACTTTTCTGTGGAAAGACCTATTGGTTTTCTTCTTCTGATTATTTTTTTTTCTTCCGCCTAATTTTGTTCTTGCGATAAATATTTGTTTCGCAATATGTCGCTTAGATATTTGGTATATGATATCGAACAGTTTATGCGCCTTTGAAAATTACCCTGCGAAACCAAATAATTTTCTTTGTAGGAGTTATCTCCCTGAACACGGTTTTCCTTGTGCAAGCATCTCCTCCGTAACTAAAAGATAGCGACAAATTTATTTTACCAAATTGCTCGTTATATCCTCAGGATGTTTTGTCCAATTTTGACCAAAGCAATACGTAAACTCCATATGAGAGTTATTTCCCCTTCCGTATTTGACATAAGGGATATATAAAGTATAGCATGGATGGTAAGTGATAGAGACCTAAGGTATATTGATTTGAGTTTCATTGGTTCGTTTAAATGAAATTGAGGCCAAGGTCATATGTCAAGGTCATATTCTAAATTTTGACTTTTCCTTGTTATTTGATCTCCTCTGTCACTTTTAAAATTACAAATTAAAGAACTAGTGCAAAATGTTTGCTTAATTGTGTTGAAGATATGATACATTTGGTCTGAAACAATCCATTGATATCTTATAGGAGTTATTGTCCCTGAAATGATTCAATTTAAGGTTAGTTGATTATTACTCCAACTTGGTACATGATAAAGCCATAGGGTATTTTGTAAACTGTTGGTTGACATATGACCTTGAAAAAAGTAAACCGGAAGTGACCTTGAGTGAACCAGAAGAAGTATTTTTTGCACTTATTTCATGGAAACGTACCTAGAAACCATATATTTTTTGAATGATCATAGGTTAACCTATCATTTGAGACCGGAAGTGACATTTTATAAACCGGAAGTAGCATATTATCTTCCTTATTACAGGCATAAGTATATACAAACTATATATTTTTGGAATAAGTGTGAATAAAGCTATCATATGAGACCGGAAGTGACATTTTCTAAACCGGAAGTTGGCAATCATCTCACTTATTTCAGGCAAAAGTATATAGAAACCATTTATTTCTTGAATCAGTATGAAGAAATCTATACTTTGACGCTATTTATAACTTTGAGTAAACCAGAAGTAGCTTCCTATCAATTATTTAGAAAATTGATGTGGAAAGACCTTCAATTGTTCCTTGAACAATTGGTTTTTAATTTTTTTTTCTTCTGCCTAATTTTGTTCTTGCAATAAATATTTGTTTCGCAATATGTCGCTTAGATATTTAGTATATGATATCGAACTGTTTATGCGCCTTTGAAATTTACCCTGCGAAACCAAATAATTTTCTTTGTAGGAGTTATCTCCCCAAACACTGTTTTCCTTGTGCACGAATCTCCTCCGTAACCGTAAAAGAAAGCGACAAATTTATTTTACCGAATTGCTCGTTATATCCTCAGGATGTTTTGTCCTAATTTGACCGAAGCGATACGTAAACTCCATATGAGAGTTATTTCCCCTTCTGTATTTGACATAAGGGATATATAAATGTATAGCATGAATGGTAAGTGATAGAGACCTAAGGTATATTGATTTGAGTTCCTTGGTTCATTCAAATGAAATTGAGGCCAAGGTCAAAGGTCAAGGTCATATTCTAAATTTTGACTTTTCCTTGTTATTTGATCTCCTCTGTCACTTTAAAAATAACAAATTAAAGAACTAGTGCAAAATGTTTGCTTAATTGTGATTAACATATGATACATTTGGTCTGAAATAATCCAATGATATCTTATATGAGTTATTGTCCCTGAAATGATTCAATTTAAGGTTAATTGATTATTACTCCAACTTGGTACATGATAAAGCCATAAGATCTTTTGCAAAATGTTGAGTGACATATGACCTTGAAAAATGTCAACCGGAAGTGACCTTGAGTGAACCGGAAGTAGTCATTTTTGCACTTATTTCATGTAGAACTACATAGAAACCATATATTTTTTGAATGGTCATACATTAATCTATCATTTGAGACTGAAAGTGATATTTTATAAACCGGAAGTAGTATATTATCTCCCTTATTACAGGCATAAGTATATATAAACCATATATTTTTGGAATCAGTGTAAATAAAGCTAACATATAAGACTGAAAGTGACATTTTCTAAACCGGAAGTAGCCAATTATCTCCCTTTTACAGGAAAAAGTATATATAAACCATGTATTTTTGGAATCAGTGTAAATAAATCTATCATATGAGACCGGAAATGACATTTTGTAAACCGGAAGTAGCCAATTATCTCCTTTTTTACAGGCAAAAGTATATATAAACCATATATTTTTGGAATCAGTGTAAATAAAGCTATCATTTGAGACCGGAAGTGATATTTTCTAAACCGGATGTTGACAATTATCTCCCTTATTTCAGGCAAAAGTCTATAGAAACCATATGTTTATTGAATCAGTATGAAGAAACCTATGATTGGACGCCAATAGTAGCTTTGAGTAAACCAGAATTAGCTTCTCATCAATTATTTAGAAAATTGATGTGGAAAGACCTTCAATTGTTCTTTGAACAATTGGTTTTTAATTATTATTATTTTTTTTTCCGCCAAATTTTGTTCTTGCGATAAATGTTTGTTTCTTAATATGTTGCTTAGATATTTCTCATATTGTATCATATAGTAAATGCGCTTTTAAATTTCACCCTGCTAAGCCGAACCATTTTCTTTGTAAGAGTTATCTCCCTATTCACTGTTTATCATCTGTGTGCATCTCCTTCGTAACAAAAAAAGATATCGACAAAATTCTTTTTACAAATTGTTGGTTACATCCTCAGAAAATTTTGGCTAATTTGGATCGAAGCGATTCGATGAAATTTATAGGAGTTATCTACCTTTACAAAATAAATTTGTCGGTATGTGTTAATAACTCATCAACCGTTAACCGTATAACCCTGGAATCTTTTTATTTGAGGCTCCTAGGTCCTAACTTAGAAAATGAGGTCAAGGTCAAAGGTCAAGGTCAAGTTCTCAATGTTGACTTTTGCTTGTTTTTGCATTTTCTCCTACACTTTGAAAGATACATATCAAAGAACAAGTGCAAAATGTTTGCTTTTATGTAATGAAGATATGTTACATTAGGTCTGATACAATTTAATGGCATCTTATAGGAGTTAGTGCCCCTGAAATGTCTTAATATAAGGTTATTTGATTATTACTTCAACTAAGTTCATTATAAAGCCATATGACCTTGTACAAAAGGTTAGGTGACATATGACCTTGAAAAATGACAACCGGAAGTGACCTTGAGAAAACCAGAAGGAGCCATTTTTGCACTTTTTTCATATAAAAGTACTCAGAATCCATATATTTTGTAATTTAAATACATTTACTTATCACTCAAGACTAGAAGTGACTTTCTGTAAACCGGAAGTGGTCAATTATATCCGGATTTACAGGCAAAAGTATATAGAAACTATATAATTTTGGAATCAGTGTGAAAGAAGCTATCATGTGAGATCAGAAGTAACATCAACTTAACCGAAAGTAGCACATTATCTTCTTTAGTTCACTTTAAAGCAGATCAAAACCATTTATTTATCGCATCAGTCTGAGGAAACTAGCTTCTTTTCAAAATTTCTTTGATGTGGAAAGACCTTCAATTGTTCTCTGAACAATTGGTTTTTAATTATTATTAGGTCTTTCCACTTTTCGGTGGAAAGACCTATTAACACTGGACACTTTTAATTTGCAAAACACTCATTTGCAAATCCGCCGCCGCCTCTCCTTAGACCTACAGTGTCGTGTAAATAACCAAAATGTGCGGAATTACATGGGATTCAATAATTTCATTGCTTTTCTGCTGTTATTATTATATGTATTTTGTAACTTGATTTAGAAAAACATGGGATTTTCAATATCCCATGGGATAAGGCAAATCCCATGGGATTGACCAATATCCCATGGGATTTTGGTTAAATCCCATGGGATTTTTTTGGGTCCCATGGGATAATTGTAGTCCCATGGGATATTTGTTGTCCCATGGGACAAAAAAAATCCCATGGGACTATAATTATCCCATGGGATTTTTAATATCCCCTGGGACAAAATAAAATCCTATGGAATTCAAATTATAAATATACAGTAATGTGTTTGTTACAATGAATTCTGTTTGGTAGTAAAAAGTTTATAATATATATATGAGTGTATTTTGGTTTTTTTCATTTTGTCACAAACATGTTTTTAATTTGTTTATATGACAATAAAGATTATTATTATTTTGGAAATATAATAATATTTAAAGTCAAAAAATAAAATCCTTTAACTGAAATAAAATGATGAGGTCTTAATAAAAGAAAAAAATATTTCATATTCTGACTGAATAAATTGACAAAGCACAGTTAATAGTTTACTCTTTTCATGAGGTAAAGTTTTCTTTGTTATAGTTCCATTGCAATACATGAATATGCAAATGATTTGAATCTTATTCCTTTGTGGTGTTCATATTATTACATTTATATTTGTAAATTTATAAAATAAACACTTTTCCTGTTAAGTTTTAGTTTTCTTGTTTCAGCTTGCTATGAACAATTATTCAGTCCACTATATAAGAGTCAAGTAAATAAATTATTTCATCCACTAGAATATTCCTACAATTTTAAGACAAAACATTTATGCAATCTGTTCTTCAAAAATCTTCCTCCGTACATCTTTATTGGATGGAGCGATTTAAATGAGTGGACAAAGCAAGTTCATTTGGACAACAAAATACTAATATATTTTTTCATTCCTCCCTTCTTTCAATTGATAATTACGTTGTTGCATTTACATGATTAAGTTCTTGAGCATCTATGATCATGATGATATGACTCCTTTTTGTTTATAGTCATTATGTTGAAATTTCCTCTTTCTTATGTAGGAAAAAAAAACACATTCCATTTCAAATTAATAAAAAAGTCACACTATGTAGAAAAATATCAACTTTAAGTTTGCTGTTCAGTATTGACCTGTTGAATGATGATCATGAAAACCAAGATGTCTGACCTACAAATACACAAGACTCAAAAATTATAAATGAAGAGAAATACAGCAATAAAATAGCTATTTTATCATGTTTATGTACATTTTGATAAAAATTTCATTTGAATATTTAAAATTGTAAGAACTCTTATTTCAGTGCTTTGTGTCTATGGTTTTCATATTAGTTGTTTTTTGTGCCTTGTTGCAGTCTTTTAAGTTAAGCCAATTGCAACAAATGTTTACAGTTTGTTCAAATGTTGTGCTGTTATTAAAACCACTGTCCCAGGTTAGGGGTGGGTTGGGTGCTCACTAAATGTTTATTTTATTAGTTGATATTTGCTTTGAATTAGCTGTCAGTAACTGTGAGTACTAATAGATCTGTATGTTGAGTCTTTTTTGTTAAAGGGAAAGAATAAATTTCCAGCCACATCCGGTCTGTGTTAGCTGTTTTTCTGCTTTGTTGCATTCTAATGAGTTAATAAAATTGAGAATGAAAACGGGAATGTATCAAAATAATTTAATTTTGGATGTAACGCGTCTTCTGATTGGCTGACGTTGTTTTGTTTATCAGCTCATAGACATAATTTTGTCATGTGACCGTGACGTCATCAACGTTTTTTCATGGTTTTGCTCCGGTTTAAAATGGAATTTAGAATTAAATTATAAGAAATGTGACTGTAATATTTTTTCTGTCTATTCGAAATAACATAAAAAATGTGGTGCACACTTTAAAATAACCCGCTACGCGGGTTATTCAGTATGCACCACATTTTTTATGTTATTTATTCATAGACAGAAAAAATATTATAGTCATTCCTTAAATAACCTGACCAAAGAGCAGAAAAAAACCCTTTTCAACTGATTTTATAGTTTTTATATTGAACTGACACTTACACCACTGTCCTTAATTAGAGGAGGATTTGGTGCCAGCAAACATGTTAAACCATGCCACATTTTGTAAGTGTCTGTCCCAAGTCAGGGGTCTATTATTCAGTGGTTGTCAATTGTTGCTATATATCATATTTGTTTTTTGTTTATTGTTTTGTGCAAAAATCAGGCACTTAGCTTTCACCTTTATGGTGTTTCCCCCAAGCATGTTTAGCATGGATAGACACCATGCCCTTTTTAAATGACGCCATGCCCTTATTGAATTGTTTAACATTTGTTATTTCATGGCCTTTTATGGATTACTATGCAGTATAGGGTTTGCTCATTGTCGAAGGCTGTACATTGAACTAATTTTGTTAAATTTAATGTCATTTGATCTCTATTGGAGAAAAGTCTCATTGGCAACCGTACCGCTTCTTATTTTTATATCAACCCTGCCATATTTTGCCTGTCATTATTTACAGGTCATCATTGGCCTCTAATAAGTAATTGCATTGCTTACATCCACTTAATTGAACTCTGGTGGATAGTTTTCTCATTTATCATACCACATCTTATTTTCATAATAATCATTATTCAAGGGCAATAACTTTTATAGAAGTGGACTTACCATTTAGGCTTTGTTGACATCTGTAAATCTATTTTTGTTGATAATTTCTTTTGTTTATAGTTTCCCTTTATCTTTAATGTTCTTGCCCTACACATAAAAGGGTAAACATTATCATTTAATGACAATAACTACTATTACATAATGAGTAGGCAACTGACAATTTTGGATCATTTGTATCTTGTCTTGCTCATCATTTTTGCTTGATATTATCAATATTCTATGAAAATGAGGTCACAGTAATATTAAACTTGGCAGACAGACATCTTCTTATTTTTATATGACACCTTGTAGTCATTCCATACACCAACAAGTAAACATATGCTTATAATATCTGATAAAATGAATAAAATGCTCCGCTGGGCACAGCTTGATACGACCGCAGAGGTCGAACCCTGAACAGTTGGGGCAAGTATGGACACAACATTCAAGCTTGATACAGCACTGAATTTGGATTTTGATTAAATATTTGACACAGCATAGGTTTCTGACACAGAATGAATGTGGTCTAAGAACTTAAAAATTTTTAATTTACCTATTCAAACCATATCATTATTATTTGCTTTTATATATAAATCAGAAATAACCAATTTAAAATGGAAAATTTTAAAGAAAAAAAAAGGAAAAAAAGGGGGAAAAAAATCCCCCCCCCCAATTTTTTGAACCCCCTTATGATTCATCACCCCAAACTTAATCCCAGCCTTCCCTTTGTGGTATGGTACCTTGCAGTACAATTTCAGAGAGATCCATACACTTATACACAAGTTATTGTCTGGAAACTAGAAAAATGCTTGTTTTTTTGGCCCCTTTTTGGCCCCAAATTCCTAAAAGTTTAGGGCAATTACCCCCAAACTCAAACCCAGCTTTCCCTTTGTGATATGGAACCTTGTAGTACAATTTCATAAAGATCCATACACTTACACACAAGTTATTGTCCTGAAACTAGAAAAATGCGTGTTTTTTTCCCCTTTTTGGCCCCTTATTCCTAAATTTTTTAGGCAATTACCCCCAAAATCAATCCCAGCCTTCCCTTTGTGGTATGGTACCTTGCAGTACAATTTCAGAGAGATCCATACACTTGAACACAAGTTATTGTCTGGAAACTAGAAAAATGCTTATTTTTGGCCCCTTTTTGCTATACATTTTGGGCAATTACCCCCAAACTCAATTCCAGCTTTCCCTTTGTGATATGGAACCTTGTAGTACAATTTCAGAAAGATCCATACACTTACACACAAGTTATTGTCATGAAACTAGAAAAATTCTTGTTTTTTGCCCCTTTTTTGGCCCCTAATTCCTAAAATTTTAAAGCAATTGCCCCCAAAATCAATCCCAGCCTTCCCTTTGTGGTATGGTACCTTGCAGTACAATTTCAGAGAGATCCTTAAACTTGAACACAAGTTATTGTCTGGAAACTAGAAAAATGCTTATTTTTGGCGCCTTATTCCTTAACGTTTTGGGCAATTACCCCCAAACTCAATTCCAGCTTTCCCTTTATGATATGGAACCTTGTAGTACAATTTCAGAAAGATCCATACACTTACACACAAGTTATTGTCATGAAACTAGAAAAATGCTTGTTTTTTGCCCCTTTTTTGGCCCCTAATTCCTAATATTTTGAGGAAATTACCCCCAAAATCAATCCCAGCATTCCCTGTGTGATATGGAACCTTGTGGTACAATCTCAGAGAGATCCATACACTAACACACAAGTTATGTCTGGAAGTTACAAAAATGCTTATTTTTGGCCCCTTTTTGGCCCCTAATTCCTTAAGTTGGTACCATAACCCCCAAAATCAATCCTTATGGTAAAATTTCATAGAGATCCATTCACTTAAACTAAAGTTAGAGTGTGAAAACCAATGTGTCTTCGGACGTCGACAACGCCAACGTCATACCAATATATGACTGTATAAAAAACTAAGAAAACTTAGCACCGACCAAAGAACCATAAAATGCGATCATGGTTATATGAATCTTCCAGACAGACATGCACACCTTACAATCGTTACATCCGCCAAATATAATTTACCTGTTGCTTAAAGCATATGATAAACTGACAAAACAATGCAAACTTTTCATTGACCAATGAACCATGAAAATGAGGTCAAGGTCATATAAAACATGCCAGACAGACTGTGCATCTCACAATCATTCCATTCACCAAATATAGGGGCCTTATTCATGTTATTACCTAGGAATAGTGATGTCATGGACTAGGAAAATTAGTCTGGGGACATAAATTACTGACATCGGACTAAATATACTAGTAAATTCTGTATCCATGGACTTTTTATACTTGTTATATTAGTCTGACAATACCAACTTTAAAGTCTTTGGTTTTACCCGGTTGGGTTCAAAATAAACAACCTTCTGCAAGTGAGGTGAACACGCTACCACGAGACCAGGCAGTATAATATAAGGAGTTTACCCAAGATTTAAAGTTTCCAAGTTTTTGCAAAAACTGGATCAAAATCATCATTGAAAAGCAACAACTTTTTAATAAGATTTAAGTTTCTCTTTAATTATTACAGTTTTCGAGATAAAAAGGCAAATTCAAGAAATATGAAGAAAAAAAAACCGGTTAAAATCTGTATTTAAGGCAACAACTCCTATGAGTCAGCTGCTAGTTTTGATGCAAATGGACAGTAGATTTTTTTTTCAACATTCTGAAGATTTCTACCCTTGTCAGATATTGTCTATCTATTTTAGCCTTTTGTAGCTTATTATGCAGTTTGGCTTTTTAGCCCATTGTTGAAATCTGTACGGTGACCTATATAGTTGTTAACTTCTACGTTTTTAGTTTCTGTTGAAGAGCCGTCACATTGGCAATGATACCATATTTGTATATGTTTTTGTCATGTAGGTGTAAGGAGACAACCTTTTGATTTTCTGGTGGGATAAAAAGGGGAGACAGACTTTTTATCACCTGACCTGGTGAGTTTTTCAGGGTTCGTAAGGATAGAAAACCCGGCAAATTGTAACAAACCCCTGTGGTACGACCATATTTGCCAAAAGATTAGTCCAAATAATTATGACGTCTTGCAAGGCTATTTTAACTTTTTTCTGGGCACGTAATAGTCAATGTTGTGACTGAGTGCGGAAATATTAAGATAGATAGATAGAAAAATTATAAAGGGACATAACTGAAGAACGGTAAAAGTGACGCTACCCAAATTTGAACTTGATCTGAGTTTTGTGGTAATAAGCATTGTGTGTAAGTCTCATAACATTTGGTTGAGGCTAACTTAAGTAGAGAACAGAAACTAAAAATTCAGCAATTTTTCTATTTGTAAACACGCATAACTCTAGAACGGTTGTGTATAAGTTTTATAACATTTGGTTGAGACAAACTAAAGTTAGAGAACGGAAACGAAAAATTCAGCAATTTTTATGTTTATAAAGGGACATTACTCAAGAATGGTAATTTGTCGCCACCTAATATCGTACTTAATCTGTATCATGTAGTAATAAGCATTGTGTATAAGTTTCATAACATTTGGTTGAGGCAAACTAAAGTTAGAAAACGGAAACAAAAAATTTGTACTTGATCTTAGTTTTGTGGTAATGAATATTGGGTATAGGTTTCATAATGATTGGTTGAGGCAAACTTAAGTTACAGAATGGAAACTAAAAATTTGCAATCGTTCAATTTATAAAGGGGCATAACTCAATAATGGTTAAAGTGACACTACCCAAATTCAACTTGATCTGTGTTTTATCAGTGGAAGTCAAAATTAAACATTGCATTGTATAAAGCATTGATTGTAGTTGATTCAACTATAATAATGGACAATTTTAAAAATTACTTGATATTTAGAAGAAAATAAAAATTTTGCAATTTTTCCATTTATAAAGGGGCATGACTCTAGAACGGGTTAAAGTGACGCCACCAAAATTCAAACTTGATCTGTGTTTTGTGGTAATAAGCATTGTGTATAAGTTTTATAACATTTGGTTGAGGCAAACTTAAGTTAGAGAACGAAACTAAAAATTTTGCTATTTTTCCATTTATAAAGGGGCATAACTCTAGAACGGTTAAAGTGACGCCACCAAAATTCAAACTTGATCTGTGTTTTGTGGTTATAAGCATTGTGTATAAGTTTTTACTTTAACATTTGTGGTTGAGGCAAACTCAAGTTAGAGAACGGAAACCAATTTTGGGACGTACGGACGTATGTACGTACAGACGGACAAGGGTAAAACTTAATGCCCCCACCCCTACGGCGGGGGCATAAAAAAAAAAAATAGCCTTGCTAGACGTCATAATTATTTGGACTACCAAAAGATGTAACCTAATTCTTACTTGTTTGGGGAAGAGGGGATTAACCGAACCACTATTCAATCTAAATCAGTGAACTGAATTATTGTCTTCTGCAGTAGTCCGAGTCGACATCTGTAACTAATCATGCAAATTGATAGTCAACCAAAACAGTATACCTTTTTCAGAATGTCAGTTCACAAAGAATCACTGGTGATAGGGGAGTGTAACCGATAAATTGATCCTGAATCAGATAAGATTTTCCAAGGACGTATAACTAACACAATACGTCCTTGGATTTTCCCAGTAACGGAGAACCCCTTTCTTTGAGTGAATATAAATAGTGACGGGGGTCTCACAAATAAATTTAAATATGAATTACAGGAACATCGATTAGCAAAGTAAACTTACATATTAATCTCGAAGTTATTTACGGTAAAGACAGACTGTGCTCCTGAATTAAGGTATTATACATTTGTGTATTTTACTCGGGGAGGGGGGGGGGGGGGCACTTCCTATATACAAGGTGATATGACGTGCCGCTGGAATAGGTCACTTTTTCCAGCTTGAAAATATGGGAATAGGTGTGGAAAACTATCAGAAATATATGATAAGGTCGATAAAGTTCCACTGAATTACTTGTATATGAAAAGCCCTGTCATTTTTTCACAGCCGAAAGTCTCGCCGTAAGTAAACATTACATACAGAATCTTAGCCTTAAATATTCCACTTTTCCAACACACCCCACAAAAACCAACCAATATGGGAAAAGGTTACAATTTTACCCTCGCAATATATGAAAAGGTATAATACATTTTTAAGATCTAAATTATATGAATAGGGTGGGGTAACAGAACCCCAGAGACACCCCTATCAATTAAGTATTGAAGTGCCCCTCCCCCCCCCCCGGAGGTATTTTACTGCTACAAGATATTTAAATTGCTAATCACGCACCCGTTGATGAGCAGAGAACCATACTTTCAAGCCAGGGGCAGTCTATACTAACAGTTAGTATAGAAAGACCCTGTAAAAAGGCAGGCAAATCCTAACAGTACTGTAACTTAATGATCCATGTATATCATGTTACTGCACCTCACCCAGCACAGTTAGCACACTGGTGTGTGTCAGTCTTATAATATAAAACTGCGTAGGTTCATATCGTTTGATTCAACGTTTTTTCGGATATTTTTTAGGACCGTTGTCAACTTGACATTGTCAAATCCGATCGCGACCTGCCACTTTGCAACCTGACCTGCAAAAACATAATTCGACTAAAAACAATGCCAGTCAAAATTGCTTTTTGAGACTGGGCGACTGAAAAAGTTTTAAAATGTGACCTTGTGACCCTACTTGGAAGACTTCATTCATCGGCGTGTGTCGGTTTGGCTAAAAAGGGGGCATTGTTTTTTTTTTTCTTGGGACAAAAAGTTTTTTCTATCTTTATTAAAAAAAAAAAAAAGACCAATCATAAACTTTTTTTTCAAAACTCAGTGTCGTATTTTATTGTTTTCCCAACAATTTTTAATAAAAGCTTAAAATGTTTGTTTCACTTCCCTTTGACTTCCCTCCTGATTTTTTTTCTCAAGAAATTATAGAATTAGTAAATGGATATATATATATATATATATATGTCTGTGGTCACCGTCATGCAGTTAGATAAGAAATTCCAGCATGCATCATCAAATAATTCATGTGTATTTGTGACATCAACATAACTGAAACATTATATTATTTCCCAGTAATTATGTAAATCATTTTGATTTACAATTATATATGTCTGGGACTTATGCATGTATATATCTCACAGGCACTTTTCTCAGAAAAAAAAATCCTATATTCTTTAATAAAAGTATATAGGAAAAAATTCTGATACAAGTGCCTGTGATATATCTGTCAGTCCCAGAATAATAAATATAATTGTATCTTAATCTTTGGGAAAATCCGATTATTAAATTGTTAAATTCTTTAACGTCATAATTATATCAAAGTTTACTTTTTAAAGTTTTAAATTTTAAAGTTAAAATGAATATTCCGTTTATATCTGAGGAAAAACTTTTTAAACTGTAATGACATGGTCAGTCAACTGATTTGTTGCATGGCTGATTACAGGTAATTAAAGCATGCAGTAATTTTCCATTACGACAGTGCGTGTACCCTGGGGTGTGTATAACGTATTAGAAATATCATAGTTTTCTAGAGAACATCCTGTCTATGTGTAATACAGATTGATGACATTACACAAATTTTTTTTCGTTAAATGTAGTTAAGTATCTGTGTCCATTCCCTATTGCAACACTACAATTCTTTCGAAGAAAAAAATGTTAAAATGTAAAGAAAAAAAATCATTTATATAAAATAAAGAAGAAAAAAGTAGCAAATAAACTTATGTAACTACGCATTGAGTAAACATAATTTCACTTTACATGTACAAACCCTTGAGAAAACGTATATATAGATGTGTTTAAAAAGGCCAATTCCCAGTGGATTTATTTCACACTAGGACCACAGGCACTTGTCTCAGAATTTTGTTTCCTATATACCTTAATACAGGGACTTTCTATACTAACTTGGTATAGAAAGTCCCTGCTTAATATAACATTAAAAGTATATAGGACA